ATCCTGTATTCAAGCTACTGCAAGGAAATCTGGCCTCCTCTCAAGTTAGGGCTTCTCAATGTATATTCCTCTTGAGGCAGCAAACTCGGAGTAACTCCCACATACCTATTGCTGAGAAGCCTCCTCCTGAGGTGCTTCTGGAAAGTTGGCTTACGTCTTGAGCCTAAGCCAGGGAATCAGCTCTCATCTCGAGACGATTTGGGGTACACGGAGCATTCCTCGAGTTGCTTTGCTGAAGTTGGTGTTCCTCTAGACTTGGGACAGTGTTCTCGGGGCATCTCTGGAGTTGCCTGAAGGAAGTCGAGCCACCGGTCGTGTTGAATGGGGAACAGGAATGGCTCTGGAGTCAATGCAGGGGAATCCGGCCTCATCTCGAGTTGATTTGGGGCACATGGAGCAGCTTTGCATTGCTGGGTGACCTCAGGGTCCGTCTAGACTGGTGACAGTGTTCTTGGGGACTGTCTCGAGATCCATTAAGCAAGTCGAAGCTCCTGACTTGTTTGAATGGGATCACGGAATAGCTCTGCATGCACTGCAGGGGAATGGGGCCTCATCTCGCCTCTAGGGGGGAGTCTCATGGTTTTTCTCGAGTTGCGGCGGGGACCTGGGGTATGTTCTCGACTTACGGCCGGGATGGCCCTTCAAAACTCGAGTTTCTTCAGTGACGTCAGGACTCCTGCCTAGTAACGAGGGACACCTCAGGAATCTCTTCGAGGCTTGGCAGGGCAAAAGGGACGCTTCTCGAGGTGAGGCAGGGCACCCAAGGACCCTTTCCAGTAGCCACAGGGAATTTGGGATTCCTATCAGTATTCAAGAGGAGTCAGGCATCGTCACCTTTTGAAGCAATGAACTCCGCGTGCCTCTCGAGGTGTCAGCGGGATGTGAGGCATTCCGTCAAAATGAGGCAGGGACCTAGGGCTTTCTCTAAGGCCTCCACAGGGGATTCAGACATCCCTTCAAGTTGTGAGATGAAAGACAAGCCTGTATTCAATCTATTGCTTGGAAATCCGGACTCCATTCAAGTTAGGGCTTCTCGCTGTATATTCCCCTTGAGGCAGCATACTCGGAGTCCCTCCCACATACCTACTGCTGAGAAGCCTCCTCCTGAGGTGCTTCTGGAAAGTTGGCATACGTCTTGAGCCTAAGCCAGGGAATCAGCTCTCATCTCGAGATGATTTGGGGTACACGGAGCATTCCTCCAGTTGCTGTGCTGAAGTTGGTGTTCCTCTAGACTTGGGACAGTGTTCTCGGGGCATCTCTGGAGTTGCCTGAAGGAAGGCGAGCCACCGGTCGTGTTGAACGGGGAACGGGGAATGGCTCTGGAGTCAATGCAGGGGAATCGGGCCTCATCTCGTGTTGATTTGGGGCACATGGAGCTGCTTTGCTTTGATGGGGTGACCTCAGGGTCGGTCTAGACTGGTGACAGTGTTCTTGGGGACTGTCTCGAGATCCATTAAGCAAGTCGAAGCTCCTGACTTGTTTGAATGGGATCACAGAATAGCTCTGCATGCACTGCAGGGGAATGGGGCCTCATCTCGCCTCTAGGGGGAAGTCTCACGGTTTTTCTCGAGTTGCGGCGGGGACCTGGGGTATGTTCTCGACTTACGGCGGGGATGGCCCTTCAAAACACGAGTTTCTTCAGTGACGTCAGGACTCCTGTCTAGTAATGAGGGACACCTCAGCAATCTCTTCGAGGCTTTGCAGGGCAAAAGGGACGCTTCTCGAGGTGAGCCAGGGCACCCAAGGACCCTTTCCAGTAGCCACAGGGATTTTGGGATTCCTATAAGTAGTCAAGAGGAGTCAGGCATCGTCACCTTTTGAAGCAATGAACTCCGCGTGTCTCTCGAGATGTCAGCGGGATGTGAGGCATTCCGTCAAAATGATGCAGGGATCTAGGGCTTTCTCTAAGGTCTCCACAGGGGATTCAGACTTCCCTTCATGTTGTGAGATGAAAGACAATCCTGTATTCAAGCTACTGCAAGGAAATCTGGCCTCCTCTCAAGTTAGGGCTTCTCAATGTATATTCCTCTTGAGGCAGCAAACTCGGAGTAACTCCCACATACCTATTGCTGAGAAGCCTCCTCCTGAGGTGCTTCTGGAAAGTTGGCTTACGTCTTGAGCCTAAGCCAGGGAATCAGCTCTCATCTCGAGACGATTTGGGGTACACGGAGCATTCCTCGAGTTGCTTTGCTGAAGTTGGTGTTCCTCTAGACTTGGGACAGTGTTCTCGGGGCATCTCTGGAGTTGCCTGAAGGAAGTCGAGCCACCGGTCGTGTTGAATGGGGAACAGGAATGGCTCTGGAGTCAATGCAGGGGAATCCGGCCTCATCTCGAGTTGATTTGGGGCACATGGAGCAGCTTTGCATTGCTGGGTGACCTCAGGGTCCGTCTAGACTGGTGACAGTGTTCTTGGGGACTGTCTCGAGATCCATTAAGCAAGTCGAAGCTCCTGACTTGTTTGAATGGGATCACGGAATAGCTCTGCATGTACTGCAGGGGAATGGGGCCTCATCTCGCCTCTAAGGGGAAGTCTCACGGTTTTTCTCGAGTTGCGGCGGGGACCTGGGGTATGTTCTCGACTTCCGGCGGGGATGGCCCTTCAAAACACGAGTTTCTCCAGTGACGTCAGGACTCCTGTCTAGTAACGAGGGACACCTCATGAATCTCTTTGAGGCTTGGCAGGGCAAAAGGGACGCTTCTCGAGGTGAGTCAGGGCACCCAAGGACCCTTTTCAGTAGCCACAGGGATTTTGGGATTCCTATCAGTATTCAAGAGGAGTCACGCATCGTCACCTTTTGAAGCAATGAACTCCGCGTGCCTCTCGAGGTGTCAGCGGGATGTGAGGCATTCCGTCAAAATGAGGCAGGGACCTAGGGCTTTCTCTAAGGTCTCCACAGGGGATTCAGACATCCCTTCATGTTGTCAGATCAAAGACGAGCCTGTATTCAAGCCACTGCAAGGAAATCCGGCCTCCTTTCAAGTTAGGGCTTCTCGCTGTATATTGCCCTTGAGGCAGCAAACTCGGAGTCCCTCCCACATACCTATTGCTGAGAAGCCTCCTCCTGAGGTGCTTCTGGAAAGTTGGCATACGTCTTGAGCCTAAGCCAGGGAATCAGCTCTCATCTCGAGATGATTTGGGGTACACGGAGCATTCCTCGAGTTGCTTTGCTGAAGTTGGTGTTCCTCTAGACTTGGGAAAGTGTTCTCTGGGCATCTCTGGAGTTGCCTGAAGGAAGTCGAGCCACCGGTCTTGTTGAATGGGGAAGGGGGAATGGCTCTGGAGTCAATGCAGGGGAATCGGGCCTCATCTCCAGTTAATTTGGGGCACATGGAGCAGCTTTGCGTTGCTAGGGTGACCTCAGGGTCCGTCTAGACTGGTGACAGTGTTCTTGGGGACTGTCTCGAGATCCATTAAGCAAGTCGAAGCTCCTGACTTGTTTGAATGGGATCACGGAATAGCTCTGCATGCACTGCAGGGGAATGGGGCCTCATCTCGCCTCTAGGGGGAAGTCTCATGGTTTTTCTCGAGTTGCGGCGGGGACCTGGGGTATGTTCTCGACTTACGGCGGGGATGGCCCTTCAAAACACGAGTTTCTCCAGTGACGTCAGGACTCCTGCCTAGTAACGAGGGACACCTCAGGAATCTCTTCGAGGCTTGGCAGGGCAAAAGGGACGCTTCTCGAGGTGAGGCAGGGCACCCAAGGACACTTTCCAGTAGCCACAGGGATATTGGGATTCCTAGCAGTATTCAAGAGGAGTCAGGCATCGTCACCTTTTGAAGCAATGAACTCCGCGTGCCTCTCGAGGTGTCAGCGGGATGTGAGGCATTCCGTCAAAATGAGGCAGGGACCTAGGGCTTTCTCTAAGGTCTCCACAGGGGATTCAGACATCCCTTCAAGTTGTGAGATGAAAGACAAGCCTGTATTCAATCTATTGCATGGAAATCCGGAGTCCTTTCAAGTTAGGGCTTCTCGCTGTATATTCCCCTTGAGGCAGCAAACTCGGAGTCCCTCCCACATACCTATTGCTGAGAAGCCTCCTCCTGAGGTGCTTCTGGAAAGTTGGCATACGTCTTGAGCCTAAGCCAGGGAATCAGCTCTCATCTCGAGACGATTTGGGGTACACGGAGCATTCCTCGAGTTGCTGTGCTGAAGTTGGTGTTCCTCTAGACTTGGGACAGTGCTCTCGGGGCATCTCTGGAGTTGCCTGAAGGAAGTCGAGCCACCGGTCGTGTTGAATGGGGAACGGGGAATGGCTCTGGAGTCAATGCAGGGGAATCCGGCCTCATCTCGAGTTGATTTGGGGCACATGGAGCTGCTTTGCATTGCTGGGGGACCTCAGGGTCCGTCTAGACTGGTGACAGTGTTCTTGGGGACTGTCTCGAGATCCATTAAGCAAGTCGAAGCTCCTGACTTGTTTGAATGGGATCACGGAATAGCTCTGCATGCACTGCAGGGGAATGGGGCCTCATCTCGCCTCTAGGGGGAAGTCTCATGGTTTTTCTCGAGTTGCGGCGGGGACCTGGGGTATGTTCTCGACTTACGGCGGGGATGGCCCTTCAAAACACGAGTTTCTTCAGTGACGTCAGGACTCCTGCCTAGTAACGAGGGACACCTAAGGAATCTCTTCGAGGCTTGGCAGGGAAAAAGGGACGCTTCTCGAGGTGAGGCAGGGCACCCAAGGACACTTTCCAGTAGCCACAGGGATTTTGGGATTCCTATCAGTATTCAAGAGGAGTCAGGCATCGTCACCTTTTGAAGCAATGAACTCTGCGTGCCTCTCGAGGTCTCAGGGGGATGTGAGGTATTCCGTCAAAATGAGGCAGGGACCTAGGGCTTCCTCTAAGGTCTCCACAGGGGATTCAGACATCCCTTCATGTTTTCAGATCAAAGACGAGCCTTTATTCAACCCACTGCAAGGAAATCTGGCCTCCGTTCACATTAGGGCTTCTCCCTGTGTATTCCCCTTGAGGCAGCAAACTCGGGGTCCCTCCCACATACCTATTGCTGAGAGAAGCCTCCTCCTGAGGTGCTTCTGGAAAGTTGGCATAGGTCTTGAGCCTAAGCCAGGGAATCAGCTCTCATCTCGAGATGATTTGGGGTACACGGAGCATTCCTCGAGTTGCTGTGCTGAAGTTGGTGGTCCTCTAGACTTGGGACAGTGTTCTCGGGGCATCTCTGGTGTTGCCTGAAGGAAGTCGAGCCACCGGTCGTGTTGAATGGGGAACGGGGAATGTCTCTGGAGTCAATGCAGGGGAATCGGGCCTCATCTCGAGTTGATTTGGGGCACATGGAGCAGCTTTGCGTTGCTGGGGTGACCTCAGGGTCCGTCTAGACTGGTGACAGTGTTCTTGGGGACTGTCTCGAGATCCATTAAGCAAGTCGAAGCTCCTGACTTGTTTGAATGGGATCACGGAATAGCTCTGCATGCACTGCAGGGGAATGGGGCCTCATCTCGCCTCTAGGGGGAAGTCTCATGGTTTTTCTCGAGTTGCGGCGGGGACCTGGGGTATGTTCTCGACTTACGGCGGGGATGGCCCTTCAAAACACGAGTTTCTTCAGTGACGTCAGGACTCCTGCCTAGTAACGAGGGACACCTCAGGAATCTCTTCGAGGCTTGGCAGGGCAAAAGGGACGCTTCTCGAGGTGAGGCAGGGCACCCAAGGACCCTTTCCAGTAGCCACAGGGATTTTGGGATTCCTATCAGTATTCAAGAGGAGTCAGGCATCGTCACCTTTTGAAGCAATGAACTCCGCGTGCCTCTCGAGGTGTCAGCGGGATGTGAGGCATTCCGTCAAAATGAGGCAGGGACCTAGGGCTTTCTCTAAGGTCTCCACAGGGGATTCAGACATCCCTTCAAGTTGTGAGATGAAAGACAAGCCTGTATTCAATCTATTGCATGGAAATCCGGACTCCTTTCAAGTTAGGGCTTCTCGCTGTATATTCCCCTTGAGGCAGCAAACTCGGAGTCCCTCCCACATACCTATTGCTGAGAAGCCTCCTCCTGAGGTGCTTCTGGAAAGTTGGCATACGTCTTGAGCCTAAGCCAGGGAATCAGCTCTCATCTCGAGACGATTTGTGGTACACGGAGCATTCCTCGAGTTGCTGTGCTGAAGTTGGTGTTCCTCTAGACTTGGGAAAGTGTTCTCTGGGCATCTCTGGAGTTGCCTGAAGGAAGTCGAGCCACCGGTCTTGTTGAATGGGGAACGGGGAATGGCTCTGGAGTCAATGCAGGGGAATCGGGCCTCATCTCGAGTTGATTTGGGGCACATGGAGCAGCTTTGCGTTGCTGGGGTGACCTCAGGGTCCGTCTAGACTCGTGACAGTGTTCTTGGGGACTGTCTCGAGATCCATTAAGCAAGTCGAAGCTCCTGACTTGTTTGAATGGGATCACGGAATAGCTCTGCATGCACTGCAGGGGAATGGGGCCTCATCTCGCCTCTAGGGGGAAGTCTCATGGTTTTTCTCGAGTTGCGGCGGGGACCTGGGGTATGTTCTCGACTTACGGCGGGGATGGCCCTTCAAAACACGAGTTTCTCCAGTGACGTCAGGACTCCTGCCTAGTAACGAGGGACACCTCAGGAATCTCTTCGAGGCTTGGCAGGGCAAAAGGGACGCTTCTCGAGGTGAGGCAGGGCACCCAAGGACCCTTTCCAGTAGCCACAGGCATTTTGGGATTCCTATCAGTATTCAAGAGGAGTCAGGCATCGTCACCTTTTGAAGCAATGAACTCCGCGTGCCTCTCGAGGTGTCAGCGGGATGTGAGGCATTCCGTCAAAATGAGGCAGGGACCTACGGCTTTCTCTAAGGTCTCCAAGGGGATTCAGACATCCCTTCATGTTGTGAGATGAAAGACAAGCCTGTATTCAAGCTACTGCAAGGAAATCTGGCCTCCTTTCAAGTTAGGGCTTATCGATGTATATTCCTCTTGAGGCAGCAAACTCGGAGTCCCTCCCACATACCTATTGCTGAGAAGCCTCCTCCTGAGGTGCTTCTGGAAAGTTGGCATACGTCTTGAGCCTAAGCCAGGGAATCAGCTCTCATCTCGAGACGATTTGGGGTACACGGAGCATTCCTCGAGTTGCTGTGCTGAAGTTGGTGTTCCTCTAGACTTGGGACAGTGCTCTCGGGGCATCTCTGGAGTTGCCTGAAGGAAGTCGAGCCACCGGTCGTGTTGAATGGGGAACGGGGAATGGCTCTGGAGTCAATGCAGGGGAATCCGGCCTCATCTCGAGTTGATTTGGGGCACATGGAGCTGCTTTGCATTGCTGGGTGACCTCAGGGTCCGTCTAGACTGGTGACAGTGTTCTTGGGGACTGTCTCGAGATCCATTAAGCAAGTCGAAGCTCCTGACTTGTTTGAATGGGATCACGGAATAGCTCTGCATGCACTGCAGGGGAATGGGGCCTCATCTCGCCTCTAGGGGGAAGTCTCATGGTTTTTCTCGAGTTGCGGCGGGGACCTGGGGTATGTTCTCGACTTACGGCGGGGATGGCCCTTCAAAACACGAGTTTCTTCACTGACGTCAGGACTCCTGCCTAGTAACGAGGGACACCTAAGGAATCTCTTCGAGGCTTGGCAGGGAAAAAGGGACGCTTCTCGAGGTGAGGCAAGGCACCCAAGGACACTTTCCAGTAGCCACAGGGATTTTGGGATTCCTATCAGTATTCAAGAGGAGTCAGGCATCGTCACCTTTTGAAGCAATGAACTCTGCGTGCCTCTCGAGGTCTCAGGGGGATGTGAGGTATTCCGTCAAAATGAGGCAGGGACCTAGGGCTTCCTCTAAGATCTCCACAGGGGATTCAGACATCCCTTCATGTTTTCAGATCAAAGACGAGCCTGTATTCAACCCACTGCAAGGAAATCTGGCCTCCGTTCACATTAGGGCTTCTCCCTGTGTATTCCCCTTGAGGCAGCAAACTCGGGGTCCCTCCCACATACCTATTGCTGAGAGAAGCCTCCTCCTGAGGTGCTTCTGGAAAGTTGGCATAGGTCTTGAGCCTAAGCCAGGGAATCAGCTCTCATCTCGAGATGATTTGGGGTACACGGAGCATTCCTCGAGTTGCTGTGCTGAAGTTGGTGGTCCTCTAGACTTGGGACAGTGTTCTCGGGGCATCTCTGGTGTTGCCTGAAGGAAGTCGAGCCACCGGTCTTGTTGAATGGGGAACGGGGAATGTCTCTGGAGTCAATGCAGGGGAATCGGGCCTCATCTCGAGTTGATTTGGGGCACATGGAGCAGCTTTGCGTTGCTGGGGTGACCTCAGGGTCCGTCTAGACTGGTGACAGTGTTCTTGGGGACTGTCTCGAGATCCATTAAGCAAGTCGAAGCTCCTGACTTGTTTGAATGGGATCACGGAATAGCTCTGCATGCACTGCAGGGGAATGGGGCCTCATCTCGCCTCTAGGGGGAAGTCTCATGGTTTTTCTCGAGTTGCGGCGGGGACCTGGGGTATGTTCTCGACTTACGGCGGGGATGGCCCTTCAAAACACGAGTTTCTTCAGTGACGTCAGGACTCCTGCCTAGTAACGAGGGACACCTCAGGAATCTCTTCGAGGCTTGGCAGGGCAAAAGGGACGCTTCTCGAGGTGAGGCAGGGCACCCAAGGACCCTTTCCAGTAGCCACAGGGATTTTGGGATTCCTATCAGTATTCAAGAGGAGTCAGGCATCGTCACCTTTTGAAGCAATGAACTCCGCGTGCCTCTCGAGGTGTCAGCGGGATGTGAGGCATTCCGTCAAAATGAGGCAGGGACCTAGGGCTTTCTCTAAGGTCTCCACAGGGGATTCAGACATCCCTTCAAGTTGTGAGATGAAAGACAAGCCTGTATTCAATCTATTGCATGGAAATCCGGACTCCTTTCAAGTTAGGGCTTCTCGCTGTATATTCCCCTTGAGGCAGCAAACTCGGAGTCCCTCCCACATACCTATTGCTGAGAAGCCTCCTCCTGAGGTGCTTCTGGAAAGTTGGCATACGTCTTGAGCCTAAGCCAGGGAATCAGCTCTCATCTCGAGACGATTTGTGGTACACGGAGCATTCCTCGAGTTGCTGTGCTGAAGTTGGTGTTCCTCTAGACTTGGGAAAGTGTTCTCTGGGCATCTCTGGAGTTGCCTGAAGGAAGTCGAGCCACCGGTCTTGTTGAATCGGGAACGGGGAATGGCTCTGGAGTCAATGCAGGGGAATCGGGCCTCATCTCGAGTTGATTTGGGGCACATGGAGCAGCTTTGCGTTGCTGGGGTGACCTCAGGGTCCGTCTAGACTCGTGACAGTGTTCTTGGGGACTGTCTCGAGATCCATTAAGCAAGTCGAAGCTCCTGACTTGTTTGAATGGGATCACGGAATAGCTCTGCATGCACTGCAGGGGAATGGGGCCTCATCTCGCCTCTAGGGGGGAGTCTCATAGATTTTCTCGAGTTGCGGCGGGGACCTGGGGTATGTTCTCGACTTACGGCGGGGATGGCCCTTCAAAACACGAGTTTCTTCAGTGACGTCAGGACTCCTGCCTAGTAACGAGGGACACCTCAGGAATCTCTTCGAGGCTTGGCAGGGCAAAAGGGACGCTTCTCGAGGTGAGACAGGGCACCCAAGGACCCTTTCCAGTAGCCACAGGGAATTTGGGATTCCTATCAGTATTCAAGAGGAGTCAGGCATCGTCACCTTTTGAAGCAATGAACTCCGCGTGCCTCTCGAGGTGTCAGCGGGATGTGAGGCATTCCGTCAAAATGAGGCAGGGACCTAGGGCTTTCTCTAAGGCCTCCACAGGGGATTCAGACATCCCTTCAAGTTGTGAGATGAAAGACAAGCCTGTATTCAATCTATTGCTTGGAAATCCGGACTCCTTTCAAGTTAGGGCTTCTCGCTGTATATTCCCCTTGAGGCAGCATACTCGGAGTCCCTCCCACATACCTATTGCTGAGAAGCCTCCTCCTGAGCTGCTTCTGGAAAGTTGGCATACGTCTTGAGCCTAAGCCAGGGAATCAGCTCTCATCTCGAGATGATTTGGGGTACACGGAGCATTCCTCGAGTTGCTGTGCTGAAGTTGGTGTTCCTCTAGACTTGGGACAGTGTTCTCGGGGCATCTCTGGAGTTGCCTGAAGGAAGTCGAGCCACCGGTCTTGTTGAATGGGGAACGGGGAATGGCTCTGGAGTCAATGCAGGGGAATCGGGCCTCATCTCGAGTTGATTTGGGGCACATGGAGCAGCTTTGCGTTGCTGGGCTGACCTCAGGGTCCGTCTAGACTCGTGACAGTGTTCTTGGGGACTCTCTCGAGATCCATTAAGCAAGTCGAAGCTCCTGACTTGTTTGAATGGGATCACGGAATAGCTCTGCATGCACTGCAGGGGAATGGGGCCTCATCTCGCCTCTAGGGGGAAGTCTCATGGTTTTTCCCGAGTTGCGGCGGGGACCTGGGGTATGTTCTCGACTTACGGCGGGGATGGCCCTTCAAAACACGAGTTTCTTCAGTGACGTCAGGACTCCTGCCTAGTAACGAGGGACACGTCAGGAATCTCTTCGAGGCTTGGCAGGGCAAAAGGGACGCTTCTCAAGGTGAGGCAGGGCACCCAAGGACCCTTTCCAGTAGCCACAGGGATTTTGGGATTCCTATCAGTATTCAAGAGGAGTCAGGCATCGTCACCTTTTGAAGCAATGAACTCCGCGTGCCTCTCGAGGTGTCAGCGGGATGTGAGGCATTCCGTCAAAATGAGGCAGGGACCTAGGGCTTTCTCTAAGGTCTCCACAGGGGATTCAGACATCCCTTCAAGTTGTGAGATGAAAGACAAGCCTGTATTCAATCTATTGCATGGAAATCCGGACTCCTTTCAAGTTAGGGCTTCTCGCTGTATATTCCCCTTGAGGCAGCAAACTCGGAGTCCCTCCCACATACCTATTGCTGAGAAGCCTCCTCCTGAGGTGCTTCTGGAAAGTTGGCATACGTCTTGAGCCTAAGCCAGGGAATCAGCTCTCATCTCGGACGATTTGTGGTACACGGAGCATTCCTCGAGTTGCTGTGCTGAAGTTGGAGTTCCTCTAGACTTGGGAAAGTGTTCTCTGGGCATCTCTGGAGTTGCCTGAAGGAAGTCGAGCCACCGGTCTTGTTGAATGGGGAACGGGGAATGGCTCTGGAGTCAATACAGGGGAATCGGGCCTCATCTCGAGTTGATTTGGGGCACATGGAGCTGTTTTGCTTTGATGGGGTGACCTCAGGGTCCGTCTAGACTGGTGACAGTGTTCTTGGGGACTGTCTCGAGATCCATTAAGCAAGTCGAAGCTCCTGACTTGTTTGAATGGGATCACAGAATAGCTCTGCATGCACTGCAGGGGAATGGGGCCTCATCTCGCCTCTAGGGGGAAGTCTCATGGTTTTTCTCGAGTTGCGGCGGGGACCTGGGGTATGTTCTCGACTTACGGCGGGGATGGCCCTTCAAAACACGAGTTTCTTCAGTGACGTAAGGACTCCTGTCTAGTAATGAGGGACACCTCAGCAATATCTTCGAGGCTTGGCAGGGCAAAAGGGACGCTTCTCGAGGTGAGCCAGGGCACCCAAGGACCCTTTCCAGTAGCCACAGGGATTTTGGGATTCCTATAAGTATTCAAGAGGATTCAGGCATCGTCACCTTTTGAAGCAATGAACTCCGCGTGCCTCTCGAGGTGTCAGCGGGATGTGAGGCATTCCGTCAAAATGATGCAGGGATCTAGGGCTTTCTCTAAGGTCTCCACAGGGGATTCAGACATCCCTTCATGTTGTGAGATGAAAGACAATCCTGTATTCAAGTTACTGCAAGGAAATCTGGCCTCCTTTCAAGTTAGGGCTTCTCGATGTATATTCCTCTTGAGGCAGCAAACTCGGAGTCCCTCCCACATACCTATTGCTGAGAAGCCTCCTCCTGAGGTGCTTCTGGAAAGTTGGCATACGTCTTGAGCCTAAGCCAGGGAATCAGCTCTCATCTCGAGCCGATTTGGGGTACACGGAGCATTCCTCGAGTTGCTGTGCTGAAGTTGGTGTTCCTCTAGACTTGGGACAGTGCTCTCGGGGCATCTCTGGAGTTGCCTGAAGGAAGTCGAGCCACCGGTCGTGTTGAATGAGGAACGGGGAATGGCTCTGGAGTCAATGCAGGGGAATCCGGCCTCATCTCGAGTTGATTTGGGGCACATGGAGCTGCTTTGCATTGCTGGGGGACCTCAGGGTCCGTCTAGACTGGTGACAGTGTTCTTGGGGACTGTCTCGAGATCCATTAAGCAAGTCGAAGCTCCTGACTTGTTTGAATGGGATCACGGAATAGCTCTGCATGCACTGCAGGGGAATGGGGCCTCATCTCGCCTCTAGGGGGAAGTCTCATGGTTTTCCTCGAGTTGCGGCGGGGACCTGGGGTATGTTCTCGACTTACGGCGGGGATGGCCCTTCAAAACACGAGTTTCTCCAGTGACGTCAGGACTCCTGCCTAGTAACGAGGGACACCTCAGGAATCTCTTCGAGGCTTGGCAGGGCAAAAGGGACGCTTCTCGAGGTGAGTCAGGGCACCCAAGGACCCTTTTCAGTAGCCACAGGGATTTTGGGATTCCTGTCAGTATTCAAGAGAAGTCAAGCATCGTCACCTTTTGAAGCAATGAACTCCGCGTGCCTCTCGAGTTGTCAGCGGGATGTGAGCCATTCCGTCAAAATGAGGCAGGGACCTAGGGCTTTCTCTAAGGTCTCCACAGGGGATTCAGACATCCCTTCATGTTGTCAGATCAAAGACGAGCCTGTATTCAAGCCACTGCAAGCAAATCCGGCCTCCTTTCAAGTTAGGGCTTCTCGCTGTATATTGCCCTTGAGGCAGCAAACTCGGGGTCCCTCCCACATACCTATTGCTGAGAGAAGCGTCCTCCTGAGGTGCTTCTGGAAAGTTGGCATATGTCTTGATTCTCAGCCAGGGAATCAGCTCTCATCTCGAGATGATTTGGGGTACACGGAGCATTCCTCGAGTTGCTTTGCTGAAGTTAGTGTTCCTCTAGACTTGGGAAAGTGTTCTCTGGGCATCTCTGGAGTTGCCTGAAGGAAGTCGAGCCACCGGTCTTGTTGAATGGGGAACGGGGAATGGCTCTGGAGTCAATGCAGGGGAATCGGGCCTCATCTCCAGTTAATTTGGTGCACATGGAGCAGCTTTGCGTTGCTGGGGTGACCTCAGGGTCCGTCTAGACTGGTGACAGTGTTCTTGGGGACTGTCTCGAGATCCATTAAGCAAGTCGAAGCTCCTGACTTGTTTGAATGGGATCACGGAATAGCTCTGCATGCACTGCAGGGGAATGGGGCCTCATCTCGCCTCTAGGGGGAAGTCTCATGGTTTTTCTCGAGTTGCGGCGGGGACCTGGGGTATGTTCTCGACTTACGGCGGGGATGGCCCTTCAAAACACGAGTTTCTTCAGTGACGTCAGGACTCCTGCCTAGTAACGAGGGACACCTCAGGAATCTCTTCGAGGCTTGGCAGGGCAAAAGGGACGCTTCTCGAGGTGAGGCAGGGCACCCAAGGACCCTTTCCAGTAGCCACAGGGATTTTGGGATTCCTATCAGTATTCAAGAGGAGTCAGGCATCGTCACCTTTTGAAGCAATGAATTCTGCGTGCCTCTCGAGGTCTCAGGGGGATGTGAGGTATTCCGACAAAATGAGGCAGGGTCCTAGGGCTTCCTCTAAGGTCTCCACAGGGGATTCAGACATCCCTTCATGTTTTCAGATCAAAGACGAGCCTGTATTCAACCCACTGCAAGGAAATCTGGCCTCCGTTCACATTAGGGCTTCTCCCTGTGTATTCCCCTTGAGGCAGCAAACTCGGGGTCCCTCCCACATACCTATTGCTGAGAGAAGCCTCCTCCTGAGGTGCTTCTGGAAAGTTGGCATACGTCTTGATCCTAAGCCAGGGAATCAGCTCTCATCTCGAGACGATTTGGGGTACACGGAGCATTCCTCGAGTTGCTGTGCTGAAGTTGGTGTTCCTCTAGACTTGGGACAGTGTTCTCGGGGCATCTCTGGAGTTGCCTGAAGGAAGTCGAGCCACCGGTCGTGTTGAATGGGGAACGGGGAATGGCTCTGGAGTCAATGCAGGGGAATCGGGCCTCATCTCGAGTTGATTTGGGGCACATGGAGCAGCTTTGCGTTGCTGGGGTGACCTCAGGGTCCGTCTAGACTGGTGACAGTGTTCTTGTGGACTGTCTCGATATCCATTAAGCAAGTCGAAGCTCCTGACTTGTTTGAATGGGATCATGGAATAGCTCTGCATGCACTGCAGGGGAATGGGGCCTCATCTCTCCTCTAGGGGGAAGTCTCACGGTTTTTCTCGAGTTGCGGCGGGGACCTGGGGTATGTTCTCGACTTACGGCGGGGATGGCCCTTCAAAACACGAGTTTCTTCAGTGACGTCAGGACTCCTGCCTAGTAATGAGGGACACCTCAGCAATCTCTTCGAGGCTTGGCATGGCAAAAGGGACGCTTCTCGAGGTGAGGCAGGGCACCCAAGGACACTTTCCAGTAGCCACAGGGATTTTGGGATTCCTATCAGTATTCAAGAGGAGTCAGGCATCGTCACCTTTTGAAGCAATGAACTCCGCGTGCCTCTCGAGGTGTCAGCGGGATGTGAGGCATTCCGTCAAAATGAGGCAGGGACCTAGGTCTTTCTCTAAGGTCTCCACAGGGGATTCAGACATCCCTTCATGTTGTGAGATAAAAGACAAGCCTGTATTCAAGCTACTGCAAGGAAATCTGGCCTCCTTTCAAGTTAGGGCTTCTCGATGTATATTCCTCTTGAGGCAGCAAACTCGGAGTCCCTCCCACATACCTATTGCTGAGAAGCCTCCTCCTGAGGTGCTTCTGGAAAGTTGGCATACGTCTTGAGCCTAAGCCAGGGAATCAGCTCTCATCTCGAGACGACTTGGGGTACACGGAGCATTCCTCGAGTTGCTGTGCTGAAATTCGTGTTCCTCTAGACTTGGGACAGTGTTCTCTGGGCATCTCTGGAGTTGCCTGAAGGAAGTCGAGCCACCGGTCGTGTTGAATGGGGAACGGGGAATGGCTCTGGAGTCAATGCAGGGGAATCCGGCCTCCTCTCGAGTTGATTTGGGGCACATGGAGCTGCTTTGCATTGCTGGGTGAACTCAGGGTCCGTCTAGACTGGTGACAGTGTTCTTGGGGACTGTCTCGAGATCCATTAAGCAAGTTGAATCTCCTGACTTGTTTGAATGGGATCACGGAATAGCTCTGCATGCACTGCAGGGGAATGGGGCCTCATCTCGCCTCTAGGGGGAAGTCTCACGGTTTTTCTCGAGTTGCGGCGGGGACCTGGGGTATGTTCTCGACTTACGGCGGGGATGGCCCTTCAAAACACGAGTTTCTCCAGTGACGTCAGGACTCCTGCCTAGTAACGAGGGACACCTCAGGAATCTCTTCGAGGCTTGGCAGGGCAAAAGGGACGCTTCTCGAGGTGAGGCAGGGCACCCAAGGACCCTTTTCAGTAGCCACAGGGATTTTGAGATTCCTATCAGTATTCAAGAGGAGTCAGGCATCGTCACCTTTTGAAGCAATGAACTCCGCGTGCCTCTCGAGGTGTCAGCGGGATGTGAGGCATTCCGTCAAAATGAGGCAGGGACCTAGGGCTTTCTCTAAGGTCTCCACAGGGGATTCAGACATCCCTTCATGTTGTCAGATCAAAGACGAGCCTGTATTCAAGCCACTGCAAGGAAATACGGCCTCCTTTCAAGTTAGGGCTTCTCGCTGTATATTCCCCTTGAGGTAGCAAACTCGGGGTCCCTCCCACATACCTATTGCTGAGAGAAGCCTCCTCCTGAGGTGCTTCTGGAAATTTGGCATACGTCTTGAGCCTAAGCCAGGGAATCAGCTCTCATCTCGAGATGATTTGGGGTACACGGAGCATTCCTCGAGTTGCTTTGCTGAAGTTGGTGTTCCTCTAGACTTGGGAAAGTGTTCTCGGGGCATCTCTGGAGTTGCCTGAAGGAAGTCGAGCCACTGGTCTTGTTGAATGGGGAACGGGGAATGGCTCTGGAGTCAATGCAGGGGAATCGGGCCTCATCTCGAGTTGATTTGGGGCACATGGAGCAGCTTTGCTTTGCTGGGGTGACCTCAGGGTCCGTCTAGACTGGTGACAGTGTTCTTGGGGACTGTCTCGTGATCCATTAAGCAAGTCGAAGCTCCTGACTTGTTTGAATTGGATCACGGAATAGCTCTGCATGCACTGCAGGGGAATGGGGCCTCATCTCGCCTCTAGGGGGGAGTCTCATGGTTTTTCTCGAGTTGCGGCGGGGACCTGGGGTATGTTCTCGACTTACGGCCGGGATGGCCCTTCAAAACACGAGTTTCTTCAGTGACGTCAGGACTCCTGTCTAGTAACGAGGGACACCTCAGGAATCTCTTCGAGGCTTGGCAGGGCAAAAGGGACGCTTCTCGAGGTGAGGCAGGGCACCCAAGGACCCTTTCCAGTAGCCACAGGGAATTTGGGATTCCTATCAGTATTCAAGAGGAGTCAGGCATCGTCACCTTTTGAAGCAATGAACTCCGCGTGCCTCTCGAGGTGTCAGCGGGATGTGAGGCATTCCGTCAAAATGAGGCAGGGACCTAGGGCTTTCTCTAAGGCCTCCACAGGGGATTCAGACATCCCTTCAAGTTGTGAGATGAAAGACAAGCCTGTATTCAATCTAATGCTTGGAAATCCGGACTCCTTTCAAGTTAGGGCTTCTCGCTGTATATTCCCCTTGAGGCAGCATACTCGGAGTCCCTCCCACATACCTATTGCTGAGAAGCCTCCTCCTGAGGTGCTTCTGGAAAGTTGGCATACGTCTTGAGCCTAAGCCAGGGAATCAGCTCTCATCTCGAGATGATTTGGGGTACACGGAGCATTCCTCGAGTTGCTGTGCTGAAGTTGGTGTTCCTCTAGACTTGGGACAGTGTTCTCGGGGCATCTCTGCAGTTGCCTGAAGGAAGGCGAGCCACCGGTCGTGTTGAACGGGGAACGGGGAATGGCTATGGAGTCAATGCAGGGGAATCGGGCCTCATCTCGTGTTGATTTGGGGCACATGGAGCTGCTTTGCTTTGATGGGGTGACCTCAGGGTCCGTTTAGACTGGTGACAGTGTTCTTGGGGACTGTCTCGAGATCCATTAAGCAAGTCGAAGCTCCTGACTTGTTTGAATGGGATCACGGAATAGCTCTGCATGCACTGCAGGGGAATAGGGCCTCATCTCGCCTCTAGGGGGAAGTCTCATGGTTTTTCTCGAGTTGCGGCGGGGACCTGGGGTATGTTCTCGACTTACGGCGGGGATGGCCCTTCAAAACACGAGTTTCTTCAGTGACGTCAGGACTCCTGCCTAGTAACGAGGGACACCTCAGCAATCTCTTCGAGGCTTTGCAGGGCAAAAGGGACGCTTCTCGAGGTGAGCCAGGGCACCCAAGGACCCTTTCCAGTAGCCACAGGGATTTTGGGATTCCTATAAGTATTCAAGAGGAGTCAGGCATCGTCACCTTTTGAAGCAATGAACTCCGCGTGCCTCTCGAGGTGTCAGCGGGATGTGAGGCATTCCGTCAAAATGATGCAGGGATCTAGGGCTTTCTCTAAGGTCTCCACAGGGGATTCAGACATCCCTTCATGTTGTGAGATGAAAGACAATCCTGTATTCAAGTTACTGCAAGGAAATCTGGCCTCCTTTCAAGTTAGGGCTTCTCGATGTATATTCCTCTTGAGGCAGCAAACTCGGAGTCCCTCCCACATACCTATTGCTGAGAAGCCTCCTCCTGAGGTGCTTCTGGAAAGTTGGCATACGTCTTGAGCCTAAGCCAGGGAATCAGCTCTCATCTCGAGCCGATTTGGGGTACACGGAGCATTCCTCGAGTTGCTGTGCTGAAGTTGGTGTTCCTCTAGACTTGGGACAGTGCTCTCGGGGCATCTCTGGAGTTGCCTGAAGGAAGTCGAGCCACCGGTCGTGTTGAATGAGGAACGGGGAATGGCTCTGGAGTCAATGCAGGGGAATCCGGCCTCGTCTCGAGTTGATTTAGGGCACATGGAGCTGCTTTGCATTGCTGGGGGACCTCAGGGTCCGTCTAGACTGGTGACAGTGTTCTTGGGGACTGTCTCGAGATCCATTAAGCAAGTCGAAGCTCCTGACTTGTTTGAATGGGATCACGGAATAGCTCTGCATGCACTGCAGGGGAATGGGGCCTCATCTCGCCTCTAGGGGGAAGTCTCATGGTTTTCCTCGAGTTGCGGCGGGGACCTGGGGTATGTTCTCGCCTTACGGCGGGGATGGCCCTTCAAAACACGAGTTTCTCCAGTGACGTCAGGACTCCTGCCTAGTAACGAGGGACACCTCAGGAATCTCTTCGAGGCTTGGCAGGGCAAAAGGGACGCTTCTCGAGGTGAGTCAGGGCACCCAAGGACCCTTTTCAGTAGCCACAGGGATTTTGGGATTCCTGTCAGTATTCAAGAGGAGTCAAGCATCGTCACCTTTTGAAGCAATGAACTCCGCGTGCCTCTCGAGGTGTCAGCGGGATGTGAGCCATTCCGTCAAAATGAGGCAGGGACCTAGGGCTTTCTCTAAGGTCTCCACAGGGGATTCAGACATCCCTTCATGTTGTCAGATCAAAGACGAGCCTGTATTCAAGCCACTGCAAGGAAATCCGGCCTCCTTTCAAGTTAGGGCTTCTCGCTGTATATTGCCCTTGAGGCAGCAAACTCGGGGTCCCTCCCACATACCTATTGCTGAGAGAAGCCTCCTCCTGAGGTGCTTCTGGAAAGTTGGCATATGTCTTGATCCTAAGCCAGGGAATCAGCTCTCATCTCGAGATGATTTGGGGTACACGGAGCATTCCTCGAGTTGCTTTGCTGAAGTTGGTGTTCCTCTAGACTTGGGAAAGTGTTCTCTGGGCATCTCTGGAGTTGCCTGAAGGAAGTCGAGCCACCGGTCTTGTTGAATGGGGAACGGGGAATGGCTCTGGAGTCAATGCAGGGGAATCGGGCCTCATCTCCAGTTAATTTGGGGCACATGGAGCAGCTTTGCGTTGCTGGGGTGACCTCAGGGTCCGTCTAGACTGGTGACAGTGTTCTTGGGGACTGTCTCGAGATCCATTAAGCAAGTCGAAGCTCCTGACTTGTTTGAATGGGATCACGGAATAGCTCTGCATGCACTGCAGGGGAATGGGGCCTCATCTCGCCTCTAGGGGGAAGTCTCATGGTTTTTCTCGAGTTGCGGCGGGGACCTGGGGTATGTTCTCGACTTACGGCGGGGATGGCCCTTCAAAACACGAGTTTCTTCAGTGACGTCAGGACTCCTGCCTAGTAACGAGGGACACCTCAGGAATCTCTTCGAGGCTTGGCAGGGCAAAAGGGACGCTTCTCGAGGTGAGGCAGGGCACCCAAGGACCCTTTCCAGTAGACACAGGGATTTTGGGATTCCTATCAGTATTCAAGAGGAGTCAGGCATCGTCACCTTTTGAAGCAATGAATTCTGCGTGCCTCTCGAGGTCTCAGGGGGATGTGAGGTATTCCGACAAAATGAGGCATGGTCCTAGGGCTTCCTCTAAGGTCTCCACAGGGGATTCAGACATCCCTTCATGTTTTCAGATCAAAGACGAGCCTGTATTCAACCCACTGCAAGGAAATCTGGCCTCCGTTCACATTAGGGCTTCTCCCTGTGTATTCCCCTTGAGGCAGCAAACTCGGGGTCCCTCCCACATACCTATTGCTGAGAGAAGCCTCCTCCTGAGGTGCTTCTGGAAAGTTGGCATACGTCTTGATCCTAAGCCAGGGAATCAGCTCTCATCTCGAGACGATTTGGGGTACACGGAGCATTCCTCGAGTTGCTGTGCTGAAGTTGGTGTTCCTCTAGACTTGGAACAGTGTTCTCGGGGCATCTCTGGAGTTGCCTGAAGGAAGTCGAGCCACCGGTCGTGTTGAATGGGGAACGGGGAATGGCTCTGGAGTCAATGCAGGGGAATCGGGCCTCATCTCGAGTTGATTTGGGGCACATGGAGCAGCTTTGCGTTGCTGGGGTGACCTCAGGGTCCGTCTAGACTGGTGACAGTGTTCTTGTGGACTGTCTCGATATCCATTAAGCAAGTCGAAGCTCCTGACTTGTTTGAATGGGATCATGGAATAGCTCTGCATGCACTGCAGGGGAATGGGGCCTCATCTCTCCTCTAGGGGGAAGTCTCACGGTTTTTCGCGAGTTGCGGCGGGGACCTGGGGTATGTTCTCGACTTACGGCGGGGATGGCCCTTCAAAACACGAGTTTCTTCAGTGACGTCAGGACTCCTGCCTAGTAACGAGGGACACCTCAGCAATCTCTTCGAGGCTTGGCATGGCAAAAGGGACGCTTCTCGAGGTGAGGCAGGGCACCCAAGGACACTTTCAAGCAGCCACAGGGATTTTGGGATTCCTATCAGTATTCAAGAGAAGTCAGGCATCGTCACCTTTTGAAGCAATGAACTCCGCGTGCCTCTCGAGGTGTCAGCGGGATGTGAGGCATTCCGTCAAAATGAGGCAGGGACCTAGGTCTTTCTCTAAGGTCTCCACAGGGGATTCAGACATCCCTTCATGTTGTGAGATAAAAGACAAGCCTGTATTCAAGCTACTGCAAGGAAATCTGGCCTCCTTTCAAGTTAGGGCTTCTCGATGTATATTCCTCTTGAGGCAGCAAACTCGGAGTCCCTCCCACATACCTATTGCTGAGAAGCCTCCTCCTGAGGTGCTTCTGGAAAGTTGGCATACGTCTTGAGCCTAAGCCAGGGAATCAGCTCTCATCTCGAGACGACTTGGGGTACACGGAGCATTCCTCGAGTTGCTGTGCTGAAATTCGTGTTCCTCTAGACTTGGGACAGTGTTCTCTGGGCATCTCTGGAGTTCCCTGAAGGAAGTCGAGCCACCGGTCGTGTTGAATGGGGAACGGGGAATGGCTCTGGAGTCAATGCAGGGGAATCCGGCCTCCTCTCGAGTTGATTTGGGGCACATGGAGCTGCTTTGCATTGCTGGGTGAACTCAGGGTCCCTCTAGACTGGTGACAGTGTTCTTGGGGACTGTCTCGAGATCCATTAAGCAAGTTGAATCTCCTGACTTGTTTGAATGGGATCACGGAATAGCTCTGCATGCACTGCAGGGGAATGGGGCCTCATCTCGCCTCTAGGGGGAAGTCTCACGGTTTTTCTCGAGTTGCGGCGGGGACCTGGGGTATGTTCTCGACTTACGGCGGGGATGGCCCTTCAAAACACGAGTTTCTCCAGTGACGTCAGGACTCCTGCCTAGTAACGAGGGACACCTCAGGAATCTCTTCGAGGCTTGGCAGGGCAAAAGGGACGCTTCACGAGGTGAGGCAGGGCACCCAAGGACCCTTTTCAGTAGCCACAGGGATTTTGAGATTCCTATCAGTATTCAAGAGGAGTCAGGCATCGTCACCTTTTGAAGCAATGAACTCCGCGTGCCTCTCGAGGTGTCAGCGGGATGTGAGGCATTCCGTCAAAATGAGGCAGGGACCTAGGGCTTTCTCTAACGTCTCCACAGGGGATTCAGACATCCCTTCATGTTGTCAGATCAAAGACGAGCCTGTATTCAAGCCACTGCAAGGAAATACGGCCTCCTTTCAAGTTAGGGCTTCTCGCTGTATATTCCCCTTGAGGTAGCAAACTCGGGGTCCCTCCCACATACCTATTGCTGAGAGAAGCCTCCTCCTGAGGTGCTTCTGGAAATTTGGCATACGTCTTGAGCCTAAGCCAGGGAATCAGCTCTCATCTCGAGATGATTTGGGGTACACGGAGCATTCCTCGAGTTGCTTTGCTGAAGTTGGTGTTCCTCTAGACTTGGGAAAGTGTTCTCGGGGCATCTCTGGAGTTGCCTGAAGGAAGTCGAGCCACTGGTCTTGTTGAATGGGGAACGGGGAATGGCTCTGGAGTCAATGCAGGGGAATCGGGCCTCATCTCGAGTTGATTTGGGGCACATGGAGCAGCTTTGCATTGCTGGGGTGACCTCAGGGTCCGTCTAGACTGGTGACAGTGTTCTTGGGGACTGTCTCGAGATCCATTAAGCAAGTCGAAGCTCCTGACTTGTTTGAATGGGATCACGGAATAGCTCTGCATGCACTGCAGGGGAATGGGGCCTCATCTCGCCTCTAGGGGGGAGTCTCATGGTTTTTCTCGAGTTGCGGCGGGGACCTGGGGTATGTTCTCGACTTACGGCCGGGATGGCCCTTCAAAACACGAGTTTCTTCAGTGACGTCAGGACTCCTGTCTAGTAACGAGGGACACCTCAGGAATCTCTTCGAGGCTTGGCAGGGCAAAAGGGACGCTTCTCGAGGTGAGGCAGGGCACCCAAGGACCCTTTCCAGTAGCCACAGGGAATTTGGGATTCCTATCAGTATTCAAGAGGAGTCAGGCATCGTCACCTTTTGAAGCAATGAACTCCGCGTGCCTCTCGAGGTGTCAGCGGGATGTGAGGCATTCCGTCAAAATGAGGCAGGGACCTAGGGCTTTCTCTAAGGCCTCCACAGGAGATTCAGACATCCCTTCAAGTTGTGAGATGAAAGACAAGCCTGTATTCAATCTATTGCTTGGAAATCCGGACTCCTTTCAAGTTAGGGCTTCTCGCTGTATATTCCCCTTGAGGCAGCATACTCGGAGTCCCTCCCACATACCTATTGCTGAGAAGCCTCCTCCTGAGGTGCTTCTGGAAAGTTGGCATACGTCTTGAGCCTAAGCCAGGGAATCAGCTCTCATCTCGAGATGATTTGGGGTACACGGAGCATTCCTCGAGTTGCTGTGCTGAAGTTGGTGTTCCTCTAGACTTGGGACAGTGTTCTCGGGGCATCTCTGCAGTTGCCTGAAGGAAGGCGAGCCACCGGTGGTGTTGAACGGGGAACGGGGAATGGCTCTGGAGTCAATGCAGGGGAATCGGGCCTCATCTCGTGTTGATTTGGGGCACATGGAGCTGCTTTGCTTTGATGGGGTGACCTCAGGGTCCGTTTAGACTGGTGACAGTGTTCTTGGGGACTGTCTCGAGATCCATTAAGCAAGTCGAAGCTCCTGACTTGTTTGAATGGGATCACGGAATAGCTCTGCATGCACTGCAGGGGAATAGGGCCTCATCTCGCCTCTAGGGGGAAGTCTCATGGTTTTTCTCGAGTTGCGGCGGGGACCTGGGGTATGTTCTCGACTTACGGCGGGGATGGCCCTTCAAAACACGAGTTTCTTCAGTGACGTCAGGACTCCTGTCTAGTAATGAGGGACACCTCAGCAATCTCTTCGAGGCTTTGCAGGGCAAAAGGGACGCTTCTCGAGGTGAGCCAGGGCACCCAAGGACCCTTTCCAGTAGCCACAGGGATTTTGGGATTCCTATAAGTATTCAAGAGGAGTCAGGCATCGTCACCTTTTGAAGCAATGAACTCCGCGTGCCTCTCGAGGTGTCAGCGGGATGTGAGGCATTCCGTCAAAATGATGCAGGGATCTAGGGCTTTCTCTAAGGTCTCCACAGGGGATTCAGACATCCCTTCATGTTGTGAGATGAAAGACAATCCTGTATTCAAGCTACTGCAAGGAAATCTGGCCTCCTTTCAAGTTAGGGCTTCTCGATGTATATTCCTCTTGAGGCAGCAAACTCGGAGTCCCTCCCACATACCTATTGCTGAGAAGCCTCCTCCTGAGGTGCTTCTGGAAAGTTGGCATACGTCTTGAGCCTAAGCCAGGGAATCAGCTCTCATCTCGAGACGATTTGGGGTACACGGAGCATTCCTCGAGTTGCTTTGCTGAAGTTGGTGTTCCTCTAGACTTGGGACAGTGTTCTCGGGGCATCTCTGGAGTTGCCTGAAGGAAGTCGAGCCACCGGTCGTGTTGAATGGGGAACAGGGAATGGCTCTGGAGTCAATGCAGGGGAATCCGGCCTCATCTCGAGTTGATTTGGGGCACATGGAGCTGCTTTGCATTGCTGGGTGACCTCAGGGTCCGTCTAGACTGGTGACAGTATTCTTGGGGACTGTCTCGAGATCCATTAAGCAAGTCGAAGCTCCTGACTTGTTTGAATGGGATCACGGAATAGCTCTGCATGCACTGCAGGGGAATGGGGCCTCATCTCGCCTCTAGGGGGAAGTCTCACGGTTTTTCTCGAGTTGCGGCCGGGACCTGGGGTATGTTCTCGACTTACGGCGGGGATGGCCCTTCAAAACACGAGTTTCTACAGTGACGTCAGGACTCCTGCCTAGTAACGAGGGACACCTCAGGAATCTCTTCGAGGCTTGGCAGGGCAAAAGGGACGCTTCTCGAGGTGAGTCAGGGCACCCAAGGACCCTTTTCAGTAGCCACAGGGATTTTGGGATTCCTATCAGTATTCAAGAGGAGTCAAGCATCGTCACCTTTTGAAGCAATGAACTCCGCGTGCCTCTCGAGGTGTCAGCGGGATGTGAGCCATTCCGTCAAAATGAGGCAGGGACCTAGGGCTTTCTCTAAGGTCTCCACAGGGGATTCAGACATCCCTTCATGTTTTCAGATCAAAGACGAGCCTGTATTCAAGCCACTGCAAGGAAATCCGGCCTCCTTTCAAGTTAGGGCTTCTCGCTGTATATTGCCCTTGAGGCAGCAAACTCGGGGTCCCTCCCACATACCTATTGCTGAGAGAAGCCTCCTCCTGAGGTGCTTCTGGAAAGTTGGCATACGTCTTGATCCTAAGCCAGGGAATCAGCTCTCATCTCGAGATGATTTGGGGTACACGGAGCATTCCTCGAGTTGCTTTGCTGAAGTTGGTGTTCCTCTCGACTTGGGAAAGTGTTCTCTGGGCATCTCTGGAGTTGCCTGAAGGAAGTCGAGCCACCGGTCTTGTTGAATGGGGAACGGGGAATGGCTCTGGAGTCAATGCAGGGGAATCGGGCCTCATCTCCAGTTAATTTGGGGCACATGGAGCAGCTTTGCGTTGCTGGGGTGACCTCAGGGTCCGTCTAGACTGGTGACAGTGTTCTTGGGGACTGTCTCGAGATCCATTAAGCAAGTCGAAGCTCCTGACTTGTTTGAATGGGATCACGGAATAGCTCTGCATGCACTGCAGGGGAATGGGGCCTCATCTCGCCTCTAGGGGGAAGTCTCATGGTTTTTCTCGAGTTGCGGCGGGGACCTGGGGTATGTTCTCGACTAACGGCGGGGATGGCCCTTCAAAACACGAGTTTCTTCAGTGACGTCAGGACTCCTGCCTAGTAACGAGGGACACCTCAGGAATCTCTTCGAGGCTTGGCAGGGCAAAAGGGACGCTTCTCGAGGTGAGGCAGGGCACCCAAGGACCCTTTCCAGTAGTCACAGGGATTTTGGGATTCCTATCAGTATTCAAGAGGAGTCAGGCATCGTCACCTTTTGAAGCAATGAACTCCGCGTGCCTCTCGAGGTGTGAGCGGGATGTGAGGCATTCCGTCAAAATGAGGCAGGGACCTAGGGCTTTCTCTAAGGACTCCACAGGGGATTCAGACATCCCTTCATGTTGTGAGATGAAAGACAAGCCTGTATTCAAGCTACTGCAAGGAAATCTGGCCTCCTTTCAAGTTAGGGCTTATCGATGTATATTCCTCTTGAGGCAGCAAACTCGGAGTCCCTCCCACATACCTATTGCTGAAAAGCCTCCTCCTGAGGTGCTTCTGGAAAGTTGGCATACGTCTTGAGCCTAAGCCAGGGAATCAGCTCTCATCTCGAGACAACTTGGGGTACACGGAGCATTCCTCGAGTTGCTGTGCTGAAGTTCGTGTTCCTCTAGACTTGCGACAGTGTTCTCGGGGCATCTCTGGAGTTGCCTGAAGGAAGTCGAGCCACCGGTCGTGTTGAATGGGGAACGGGGAATGGCTCTGGAGTCAATGCAGGGGAATCCGGCCTCATCTCGAGTTGATTTGGGGCACATGGAGCTGCTTTGCATTGCTGGGTGAACTCAGGGTCCGTCTAGACTGGTGACAGTGTTCTTGGGGACTGTCTCGAGATCCATTAAGCACGTCGAATCTCCTGACTTGTTTGAATGGGATCACGGAATAGCTCTGCATGCACTGCAGGGGAATGGGGCCTCATCTCGCCTCTAGGGGGAAGTCTCACGGTTTTTCTCGAGTTGCGGCGGGGACCTGGGTATGTTCTCGACTTACGGCGGGGATGGCCCTTCAAAACACGAGTTTCTCCAGTGACGTCAGGACTCCTGCCTAGTAACGAGGGACACCTCAGGAATCTCTTCGAGGCTTGGCAGGGCAAAAGGGACGCTTCTCGAGGTGAGGCAGGGCACCCAAGGACCCTTTTCAGTAGCCACAGGGATTTTGGGATTCCTATCAGTATTCAAGAGGAGTCAGGCATCGTCACCTTTTGAAGCAATGAACTCCGCGTGCCTCTCGAGGTGTCAGCGGGATGTGAGGCATTCCGTCAAAATGAGGCAGGGACCTAGGGCTTTCTCTAAGGTCTCCACAGGGGATTCAGACATCCCTTCATGTTGTCAGATCAAAGACGAGCCTGTATTCAAGCCACTGAAAGGAAATACGGCCTCCTTTCAAGTTAGGGCTTCTCGCTGTATATTCCCCTTGAGGTAGCAAACTCGGGGTCCCTCCCACATACCTATTGCTGAGAGAAGCCTCCTCCTGAGGTGCTTCTGGAAAGTTGGCATACGTCTTGAGCCTAAGCCAGGGAATCAGCTCTCATCTCGAGATGATTTGGGGTACACGGAGCATTCCTCGAGTTACTTTGCTGAAGTTGGTGTTCCTCTAGACTTGGGAAAGTGTTCTCGGGGCATCTCTGGAGTTGCCTGAAGGAAGTCGAGCCACCGGTCTTGTTGAATGGGGAACGGGGAATGGCTCTGGAGTCAATGCAGGGGAATCGGGCCTCATCTCGAGTTGATTTGGGGCACATGGAGCAGCTTTGCGTTGCTGGGCTGACCTCAGGGTCCGTCTAGACTGGTGACAGTGTTCTTGGGGACTGTCTCGAGATCCATTAAGCAAGTCGAAGCTCCTGACTTGTTTGAATGGGATCACGGAATAGCTCTGCATGCACTGCAGGGGAATGGGGCCTCATCTCGCCTCTAGGGGGAAGTCTCATGGTTTTTCTCGAGTTGCGGCGGGGACCTGGGGTATGTTCTCGACTTACGGCGGCGATGGCCCTTCAAAACATGAGTTTCTACAGTGACGTCAGGACTCCTGCCTAGTAACGAGGGACACCTCAGGAATCTCTTCGAGGCTTGGCAGGGCAAAAGGGACGCTTCTCTAGGTGAGGCAGGGCACCCAAGGACCCTTTCCAGTAGTCACAGGGATTTTGGGATTCCTATCAGTATTCAAGAGGAGTCAGGCATCGTCACCTTTTGAAGCAATGAACTCCGCGTGCCTCTCGAGGTGTGAGCGGGATGTGAGGCATTCCGTCAAAATGAGGCAGGGACCTAGGGCTTTCTCTAAGGACTCCACAGGGGATTCAGACATCCCTTCATGTTGTGAGATGAAAGACAAGCCTGTATTCAAGCTACTGCAAGGAAATCTGGCCTCCTTTCAAGTTAGGGCTTCTCGATGTATATTCCTCTTGAGGCAGCAAACTCGGAGTCCCTCCCACATACCTATTGCTGAAAAGCCTCCTCCTGAGGTGCTTCTGGAAAGTTGGCATACGTCTTGAGCCTAAGCCAGGGAATCAGCTCTCATCTCGAGACGACTTGGGGTACACGGAGCATTCCTCGAGTTGCTGTGCTGAAGTTCGTGTTCCTCTAGACTTGGGACAGTGTTCTCTGGGCATCTCTGGAGTTGCCTGAAGGAAGTCGAGCCACCGGTCTTGTTGAATGGGGAACGGGGAATGGCTCTGGAGTCAATGCAGGGGAATCGGGCTTCATCTCGAGTTGATTTGGGGCACATGGAGCAGCTTTGCGTTGCTGGGGTGACCTCAGGGTCCATCTAGACTGGTGACAGTGTTCTTGGGGACTGTCTCGAGATCCATTAAGCAAGTCGAAGCTCCTGACTTGTTTGAATGGGATCACGGAATAGCTCTGCATGCACTGCAGGGGAATGGGGCCTCATCTCGCCTCTAGGGGGAAGTCTCATGGTTTTTCTCGAGTTGCGGCGGGGACCTGGGGTATGTTCTCGACTTACGGCGGGGATGGCCCTTCAAAACACGAGTTTCTCCAGTGACGTCAGGACTCCTGCCTAGTAACGAGGGACACCTCAGGAATCTCTTCGAGGCTTGCCAGGGCAAAAGGGACGCTTCTCGAGGTGAGGCAGGGCACCCAAGGACCCTTTCCAGTAGCCACAGGCATTTTGGGATTCCTATCAGTATTCAAGAGGAGTCAGGCATCGTCACCTTTTGAAGCAATGAACTCCGCGTGCCTCTCGAGGTGTCAGCGGGATGTGAGGCATTCCGTCAAAATGAGGCAGGGACCTACGGCTTTCTCTAAGGTCTCCAAGGGGATTCAGACATCCCTTCATGTTGTGAGATGAAAGACAAGCCTGTATTCAAGCTACTGCAAGGAAATCTGGCCTCCTTTCAAGTTAGGGCTTATCGATGTATATTCCTCTTGAGGCAGCAAACTCGGAGTCCCTCCCACATACCTATTGCTGAGAAGCCTCCTCCTGAGGTGCTTCTGGAAAGTTGGCATACGTCTTGAGCCTAAGCCAGGGAATCAGCTCTCATCTCGAGACGATTTGGGGTACACGGAGCATTCCTCGAGTTGCTGTGCTGAAGTTGGTGTTCCTCTAGACTTGGGACAGTGCTCTCGGGGCATCTCTGGAGTTGCCTGAAAGAAGTCGAGCCACCGGTCGTGTTGAATGGGGAACGGGGAATGGCTCTGGAGTCAATGCAGGGGAATCCGGCCTCATCTCGAGTTGATTTGGGGCACATGGAGCTGTTTTGCATTGCTGGGTGACCTCAGGGTCCGTCTAGACTGGTGACAGTGTTCTTGGGGACTGTCTCGAGATCCATTAAGCAAGTCGAAGCTCCTGACTTGTTTGAATGGGATCACGGAATAGCTCTGCATGCACTGCAGGGGAATGGGGCCTCATCTCGCCTCTAGGGGGAAGTCTCACGGTTTTTCTCGAATTGCGGCGGGGCCCTGGGTTATGTTCTCGACTTACGGCGGGGATGGCCCTTCAAAACACGAGTCTCTCCAGTGACGTCAGGACTGCTGCCTAGTAACGAGGGACACCTCAGGAATCTCTTCGAGGCTTGCCAGGGCAAAAGGGACGCTTCTCGAGGTGAAGCAGGGCACCCAAGGACCCTTTCCAGTAGCCACAGGGATTTTGGGATTCCTATCAGTATTCAAGAGGAGTCAGGCATCGTCACCTTTTGAAGCAATGAACTCCGCGTGCCTCTCGAGGTGTCAGCGGGATGTGAGGCATTCCGTCAAAATGAGGCAGGGACCTAGGGCTTTCTCTAAGGTCTCCACAGGGGATTCAGACATCCCTTCATGTTGTGAGATCAAAGACGAGCCTGTATTCAAGCCACTGCAAGGAAATCCGGCCTCCTTTCAAGTTAGGGCTTCTCGCTGTATATTCCCCTTGAGGCAGCAAACTCGGGGTCCCTCCCACATACCTATTGCTGAGAGAAGCCTCCTCCTGAGGTGCTTCTGGAAAGTTGGCATACGTCTTGAGCCTAAGCCAGGGAATCAGCTCTCATCTCGAGATGATTTGGGGTACACGGACCATTCCTCGAGTTGCTGTGCTGAAGTTGGTGTTCCTCTAGACTTGGGACAGTGTTCTCGGGGCATCTCTGGAGTTGCCTGAAGGAAGTCGAGCCACCGGTCTTGTTGAATGGGGAACGGGGAATGGCTCTGGAGTCAATGCAGGGGAATCGGGCCTCATCTCGAGTTGATTTGGGGCACATGGAGCAGCTTTGCGTTGCTGGGGTGACCTCAGGGTCCGTCTAGACTGGTGACAGTGTTCTTGGGCACTGTCTCGAGATCCATTAAGCAAGTTGAAGCTCCTGACTTGTTTGAATGGGATCACGGAATAGCTCTGCATGCACTGCAGGGGAATGGGGCCTCATCTCGCCTCTAGGGGGAAGTCTCATGGTTTTTCTCGAGTTGCGGCGGGGACCTGGGGTATGTTCTCGACTTACGGCGGGGATGGCCCTTCAAAACACGAGTTTCTTCACTGACGTCAGGACTCCTGCCTAGTAACGAGGGACACCTCAGGAATCTCTTCGAGGCTTGGCAGGGCAAAAGGGACGCTTCTCGAAGTGAGGCAGGGCACCCAAGGACCCTTTCCAGTAGCCACAGGGATTTTGGGATTCCTATCAGTATTCAAGAGGAGTCAGGCATCGTCACCTTTTGAAGCAATGAACTCCGCGTTCCTCTCGATGTGTCAGCGGGATGTGAGGCATTCCGTCAAAATGAGGCAGGGACCTCGGGCTTTCTCTAAGGTCTCCACAGGGGATTCAGACATCCCTTCAAGTTGTGAGATGAAAGACGAGCCTAGTATTCAACCACTGCAAAGAAATCCGGCTTCCTTTCAAGTTAGGGCTTCTCGCTGTATATTCTCCTTGAGGCAACAAACTCGGGGTCCCTCCCACATACCTATTGCTGAGAGAAGCCTCCTCCTGAGGTGCTTCTGGGAAGTTGGCATACGTCTTGAGCCTAAGCCAGGGAATCAGCTCTCAACTCGAGACGATTTGTGGTACACGGAGCATTCCTCGAGTTGCTGTGCTGAAGTTGGTGTTCCTCTAGACTTGGGACAGTGTTATCGGGGCATCTCTGGAGTTGCCTGAAGGAAGTCGAACCACCGGTCGTGTTGAATGGGGAAAGGGGAATTGCTCTGGAGTCAATGCAGGGGAATCGGGCCTCATCTCCAGTTGATGTGGGGCACATGGAGCTGCTTTGCATTGTTGGGATGACCTCAGGGTCCGTCTAGACTGGTGACAGTGTTCTTGGGGACTGTCTCGAGATCCATTAAGCAAGTCGAAGCTCCTGACTTGTTTGAATGGGATCACGGAATAGCTCTGCATGCACTGCAGGGGAATGGGGCCTCATCTCGCCTCTAGGGGGAAGTCTCATGGTGTTTCTCGAGTTGCGGCGGGGACCTGAGGTATGTTCTCGACTTACAGAGGGGAGGGCCCTTCAAAACACGATTTTCTTCAGTGACGTCAGGACTCCTGTCTAGTAACGAGGGACAACTCAGGAATCACTTCGAGGCTTGGCAGGGCAAAAGGGACGCTTCTCGAGGTGAGGTAGGGCACCCAAGGACCCTTTCCAGTAGCCACAGGGATTTTGGGATTCCTATCAGTATTCAAGAGGAGTCAGGCATCCTCACCTTTTGAAGCAATGAACTCCGCATGCAAGCACTCTCGCCGGGTGTTCCCGCAAGGCTCGCACTCTGGTCTCAAAGCCGGGAGAAAAGCGCTTTGGGGTGGGCCTCTCTCAGGGCCCATGGCCCTGAGCCTGGGGACCAGCTAGGGAGTCCACACTCCCAGGCCAGGGCAGAACCACATGCACACGTCTGTTCCTGCCCCCTGCCCCTTCAGAGAGCTCGGCTGAGCCGCACTCTCTCAGGCAGTTTCCTGGCAGCCCCGGGAGCACTGCCTGTGTGGGAAGGGGGAGAGCTGACCTAGGTGCACTGTGGGCCTCCTGATCTCCCTGCTGCCCTGAGGCTGCTGGGCCAAAGAGGGCTTGGCTATCTACCCCCTTTCTCCCCTCTTCCCTCTGCCAGAAGGCTCTGCCCCCGGGGCTGGTGCAGTGTGGAGACAGCCCCTCCCAGCACCTCCACTCCCAGTAGGCCTCAGCAGAGGCCTAGGCCCAGGGAAAGGCCAAGACAGGGCTGCGTTGAGGGAGGCGCAAGGGCATGTCTGGACACACTCCCCACAACCTGTTACTTCATGGGGCAGTTACACTGGAGGCCAGGAAGGCCTGGGCAAAGCTGGCCAAGAGCAGGGGCATTGCTGGGTTCTGCCTCTGGCCTGTGGGGCCTCTGAGCAGAACCTGCCCTCTCCCCCTGGAAGACCTCCCCGCCTGCGTGCAAATCCCCGTTTGCAAGCACTCTGGCCGTGTGTTCCCGCAAGGCTCGCACTCTGGTCTCAAAGCCGGGAGAAAAGCGCTTTGGGGTGGGCCTCTCTCAGGGCCCATGGCCCTGAGCCTGGGGACCAGCTAGGGGGTCCACACTCCCAGGCCAAGGCAGAACCACATGCACACGTCTGTTCCTGCCCCCTGCAACTTCAGACAGCTCGGCTGAGCCGGAGTCTCTCATGCAGGTCCCTGGCAGACCCGGCAGCACTGCCTGTGTGGGAAGGGGGAGAGCCGACCTAGGTGCACTGTGGGCCTCTTCCTCTCCCTGCTGCCCAGAGGCTGCTGGGCCAAAAGGGGTTGGCTATCTACCCCCTTTCTCCCCTCTTCCCTCTGCCAGAAGGCTCTGCCGCCGGGGCTGTTGCAGTGTGGAGACAGCCCCTGCCAGCACCTCCATTCCCAGTAGGCCTCAGCAGAGGCCTAGGCCCAGGAAAAGGCCCAGGCAGGGCTGCGTTGAGGGAGGCGCAAGGGCATGTCTGGACACACTCCCCACAGCCTGTTCCTTCATGGGGCAGTTACACTGGAGGCCAGGAAGGCCTGGGCAAGGCTGGCCAAGAGCAGGGGCATTGCTGGGTTCTGCCTCTGGCCTGTGGGGCCTCTGAGCAGGACCTGCCCTCTGCCTCAGGAAGACCTCCCCGCCTGCGTGCAAATCCCCGTTTGCAAGCCCTCTGGCCGGGTGTTCCCGCAAGGCTCGCACTCTGGTCTCAAAGCCGGGAGAAAAGCGCTTTGGGGTGGGCCTCTCTCAGGGCCCATGGCCCTGAGCCTGGGGACCAGCTAGGGGGTCCACACACCCAGGCCAGGGCAGAACCACATGCACACGTCTGTTCCTGCCCCCTGCCCCTTCAGAGAGCTCGGCTGAGCCGCAGTCTCTCAGGCAGTTCCCTGGCAGCCCCGGAAGCACTGCCTGGGTGGGAAGGGGGAGAGCCGACCTAGGGGCACTGTGGGCCTCTTGCTCTCCCTGCTGCCCTGAGGCTGCTGGGCCAAAGAGGGCTTGGCTACCTACCCCCTTTCTCCCCTCTTCCCTCTGCCAGAAGGCTCTGCCCCCGGGGCTGTTGCAGTGTGGAGACAGCCCCTGCCAGCACCTCCACTCCCAGTAGGCCTCAGCAGAGGCCTAGGCCCAGGGAACGGCCCAGGCAGGGCTGCGTTGAGGGAGGCGCAAGGGCATGTCTGGACACACTCCCCACAGCCTGTTCCTTCATGGGGCAGTTACCCTGGAGGCCAGGAAGGCCTGGGCAGGGCTGGCCAAGAGCAGGGGCATTGCTGGGTTCTGCCTCTGGCCTGTGGGGCCTCTGAGCAGGACCTGCCCTCTCCCTCTGGAAGACCTCCCCGCCTGCGTGCAAATCCCCGTTTGCAAGCACTCTGGCCGGGTGTTCCCGCAAGGCTCGCACTCTGGTCTCAAAGCCGGGAGAAAAGCGCTTTGGGGTGGGCCTCTCTCAGGGCCCATGGCCCTGAGCCTGGGGACCAGCTAGGGGGTCCACACTCCCAGGCCAGGGCAGAACCACATGCACACGTCTGTTCCTGCCCCCTGCCCCTTCAGAGAGCTCGGCTGAGCCGCAGTCTCTCAGGCAGTTCCCTGGCAGCCCCGGCAGCACTGCCTGGGTGGGAAGGGGGAGAGCCAACCTAGGGGCACTGTGGGCCTCTTGCTCTCCCTGCTGCCCTGAGGCTGCTGGGCCAAAGAGGGCTTGGCTACCTACCCAATTTCTCCCCTCTTCCCTCTGCCAGAAGGCTCTGCCCCCGGGGCTGTTGCAGTGTGGAGACAGCCCCTGCCAGCACCTCCACTCCCAGTAGGCCTCAACAGAGGCCTAGGCCCAGGGAACGGCCCAGGCAGGGCTGCGTTGAGGGAGGCGCAAGGGCATGTCTGGACACACTCCCCACAGCCTGTTCCTTCATGGGGCAGTTACACTGGAGGCCAGGAAGGCCTGGGCAGGGCTGGCCAAGAGCAGGGGCATTGCTGGGTTCTGCCTCTGGCCTGTGGGGCCTCTGAGCAGGACCTGCCCTCTCCCTCTGGAAGACCTCCCCGCCTGCGTGCAAATCCCCGTTTGCAAGCACTCTGGCCGGGTGTTCCCGCAAGGCTCGCACTCTGGTCTCAAAGCCGGGAGAAAAGCGCTTTGGGGTGGGCCTCTCTCAGGGCCCATGGCCCTGAGCCTGGGGACCAGCTAGGGGGTCCACACTCCCAGGCCAGGGCAGAACCACATGCACACGTCTGTTCCTGCCCCCTGCCCCTTCAGAGAGCTCGGCTGAGCCGCAGTCTCTCAGGCAGTTCCCTGGCAGCCCCGGCAGCACTGCCTGTGTGGGAAGGGGGAGAGCCGACCTAGGGGCACTGTGGGCCTCTTGCTCTCCCTGCTGCCCTGAGGCTGCTGGGCCAAAGAGGGCTTGGCTACCTACCCCCTTTCTCCCCCCTTCCCTCTGCCAGAAGGCTCTGCCCCCGGGGCTGTTGCAGTGTGGAGACAGCCCCTGCCAGCACCTCCACTCCCAGTAGGCCTCAGCAGAGGCCTAGGCCCAGGGAACGGCCCAGGCAGGGCTGCGTTGAGGGAGGCGCAAGGGCATGTCTGGACACACTCCCCACAGCCTGTTCCTTCATGGGGCAGTTACACTGGAGGCCAGGAAGGCCTGGGCAGGGCTGGCCAAGAGCAGGGGCATTGCTGGCTTCTGCCTCTGGCCTGTGGGGCCTCTGAGCAGGACCTGCCCTCTCCCTCTGGAAGACCTCCCCGCCTGCGTGCAAATCCCCGTTTGCAAGCACTCTGGCCGGGTGTTCCCGCAAGGCTCGCACTCTGGTCTCAAAGCCGGGAGAAAAGCGCTTTGGGGTGGGCCTCTCTCAGGGCCCATGGCCCTGAGCCTGGGGACCAGCTAGGGGGTCCACACTCCCAGGCCAGGGCAGAACCACATGCACACGTCTGTTCCTGCCCCCTGCCCCTTCAGAGAGCTCGGCTGAGCCGCAGTCTCTCAGGCAGTTCCCTGGCAGCCCCGGCAGCACTGCCTGGGTGGGAAGGGGGAGAGCCGACCTAGGGGCACTGTGGGCCTCTTGCTCCCCCTGCTGCCCTGAGGCTGCTGGGCCAAAGAGGGCTTGGCTACCTACCCAATTTCTCCCCTCTTCCCTCTGCCAGAAGGCTCTGCCCCCGGGGCTGTTGCAGTGTGGAGACAGCCCCTGCCAGCACCTCCACTCCCAGTAGGCCTCAGCAGAGGCCTAGGCCCAGGGAACGGCCCAGGCAGGGCTGCGTTGAGGGAGGCGCAAGGGCATGTCTGGACACACTCCCCACAGCCTGTTCCTTCATGGGGCAGTTACACTGGAGGCCAGGAAGGCCTGGGCAGGGCTGGCCAAGAGCAGGGG